AAATAAATTTAATTTAAATGATTTTTTTGCATAAATTTACATATAAAATTGGGTGAGTCAACTCATTTGATTTATATATAATTGCACTCAGTTGGACATGTCTCTTGACTGATAATGCATAATGTATTTTACATTTGTTATTACATGATTTCTTTAATATATATGCTTAATGATAATAATGGATTTAGTAATAATTATTTTATTTATTGATTTATTAGGTATAGTGTAACTTTCCTCTAACTTATAAGGGAAAGTTGAGTATTATACGTTATAGTGTGGTTGAAGAGTTGTACATATCATAATTTCAGATAAAGTATGTTTGTTTGCCAAATTTAGTGAAATTGAATAATATTTAAAAGCTGCATAATGCGTAAAATGTAACAGTAATATCTTTATTTATTTTGTAGTTTAGCGTTATTATTTTTATACAATTAAATTGTTATTATTAGGGTTAAATCAGATGTATTTTTTTGTGTTACTTATTCCGGTTAACTTATTTAAGTATAAAAAGTATTCATTAAATTGTGAAGTGCTGTTTAACTACATATTTCAAATTTTAATACATGGATATAATATAAAAGAAAATGTTTATATGTATATATTTATTGAATGTTCTTATACTTTAAAAGAAAAAATTAATAGAATATTCTTTTTATAGATAAAGAAGTAAAAAAGAAAAATTAAAAAAAAAGTTTATTATTTTTTTTTTTTGACATAATAATAATAGATTCAAATAATTTGATACTAATAGATTATTAGATCATTATACATGATTATAGATTATGAAGTATTTTTAATCGTATTTGTTTCAGGTTGTGTATTGGTAGGCAAAGAAGATGTTGTATCTAGTTTGTTTGAATTAGTTAGTGCTTCTTTCACCAGATCTGTTAGTTTGCGACAGGTTCTAGTTCAGGTATATGGTTTGGTAATTTCAGATGATAAAGGTTTGATCGAAGGTTTATTTTTAATTGTGGATGTTTTTTTTTTATTTTTAGAGTTGGTGGTGAAAGGGTTAGTTATAGTTGAAGTTTTGATTATAAATAATAAATCTTCATTTTTACTTGCTTTAGAACTTGTGGGAGAAGGTTTAGTCGCGGATGGTGTTTTATTCACGAACATTGGATCTTTATTTTTGGTATTAGCATTGACTCTGGTGGCTATTTTTTTAGCGATGCTTTGAGATTTTGTTGCTTCATTTGATTTTTCATTTTTCCATAGAATATTTACAGAGTTCAACAATGACTTTTGTTGGTTTGAAAATAACATGCTCTTAACATATACATAATTCTTATTATTATATAAAATGAATTCGCTGCTAATAAAGAAAATAGAACTTTTTTTTATTGTAGAGGTTATTTGTATCAAATGTGGTGCGGAGGCCAAATAATGGCAGTCTATTTCAATTGTAAATGAATCCTGATCTATATGGCCAGTAAATACAACAACCATAATAGCACTATCGTCTTTAATTACTGGAGAGTTTCATACTTTTATAGTCATATTTATTGTCGCAGCTGATGATGAAAATGGCTGATGCTGAAATTTCGATTATTTTATTATTAAATTTTTAAAAATTTTTTGGGCCTTTTTATTAGGGGTTTTTTATAGGGTTAGGTTAGGGTTAGGGGGTAGTTTTATTAGTAAAAAAGTATATGTGAATTTTAGTAGATATTATAGATTTAAAAAGGGACCCAGATTTCAGCATCAGCTGCGACATTTATTAAGACTGGGAATTCTGGAATACAGCTCAGATTTACGTCAAGCTTTACAAGATCATTTAATATAATCTAATTATTATATTTTATTTTTTAATTAAAAATATATGTCATTTATAGATGATAAAATCTTTTATTTGTAAGAATAGTAATTTAAATTTTTTTTCCAATTTACTAATAATTACTAATAATATAATAATAAAAGAATTTATTTATACTTTAGGAATTGGAATATTTCCTTCTTTGCTTGCATACTCTACGATTCGAAATTTACCTATCGCAATGATGACATTTCCTTCTTCAAATTTAGGAAGTTTAAATTCTTCAGGTAAATCATAGTTGTAAAACTCTTTTAGAAGCTTCAAGAATTTATGATTCCCAAAGCTTCAGCAATTTGAAAAGATTTGACGACATTGCATCGATAATTATTAACATAGCATAAAATGATAATATTACCTGGCATTGTTTTTAGTGTAAGTTTATTTTTATTTTTGATTATTATTATTTTATTTTATTTTATTTTTTTTAAAAAAGTTCAAATTCTCTATTTTTATAGTTATTTTTGTGAGAATAAATTTTTACTTCTTGAAATTTACATAGTGTGTAAATATGATGTATTGCCTTAGTTAGTAGACTTTTTAGTTAATAATTAGTTAATAATTATTATATATGTAAGTAATTGTAAGTATTATAGTTTTGATGTAATTTTTAGATACTTTGACTTGTAATGGTTCAATTTTTACGTACGTATTCGATTATTAATTTGTGACGATCACATTATAATATTTATTAAAAGCATTAATTAAAAATTAAAATGTCGAAATAGTTATAGATTCGATAATCATGCAGTGTGAATTTGTGTTATGATCTAGTTATGATATATTTTTTTTCAAAAGTACAATTTATGATTATAACCTGATAGATATCTGATTAATTGAATCTTTGAATTTTTTTTGAAGAATGTTTTTTACATATGTAAATATTTAAAGTGAAATATTTAAAGTAAATAATATAGTTTCGAGTGTATTAATAGGTCAAGTATGTTCTTCTCAAATCTATAATAAAACTATTGATTAAGTTGTAATATGGTATTTATTATTATGCATGTTTATTAAATTGCACTTTGAGTACAACTTTTCAAAAAAATAGTGTAATATTTTCAATTAAAGCATTAATTAGTTAATTAAGTTGAATAATTTCATTATTTATTTATTATATCAAATATAAAAAATACAAAATAATTGAATTATTAATTAATTATCTCAAGATGATTATATTTTATTTTGAGCTAATTAAAAATGTTATTGAATTGGATAATTCTAAATTAGGGAAATGATTAATTGGTAGATCGCAGTTAAAGGGTACAAAATGATCGACATTTTATAATAAACAAAATCGGAAATCTATATATTTTTTCTATAGTACAGGAATGTGGCTTGCTTACATATAAAAGTTTTTTTTTATTAAGTAATTTTTTTTTTTGCTTTAACAAAAGTTGTAAAGCTAATTTTTCTGCTTCTAATAGTAGTAAAATCATCAAAATCGGGTTAATAGATCATGAGTTATAAGTATTTTAAAATTGTTTACTATAGGGTTTTTTCATAAGAATAGAAGCACATGGCATTTCACTTACTATATAAGGTAATTACTCACATGCCCGCTGATTTTTACTATAAAATTTGTACCCTTTAACTGCGAACTACTAATTAAATATAATAATAATTACAACATTTGCAACAATATTTTGCGACAATATGATTGGTTAGTTTGTTATTATTTTTATTTTTATTTTATTTATTAACATCTCTTCGCTATTTTCTTTGTTATTTTCTTCACTATATTCTTCGCTTTGTCTTTGATAATCAGTGATTATCAATTTATCAGACCATTAAATAATCTAACAGAAAAAAATACAAAAAATAAATTAATTAGATAAATTAGTATGTAAATGTCGATAAGAGCAGTTATTAAAATATAAAATGATATTTTTTGTTCAAAAAATCAATATTGCATCAAATTGTGGTCTGCTACATTTACAAGAGCTATATTGAGCTCTAGCATCTATCATTCACAAAAAATAGTGAGAGTAAAAATTTCCTTCTTTGGTTTTGCGAGAAAATTTTTACTGCTAATCTCTGCAATTCGGTTAGCAATTTTTTCCTTATATAGGAAAAAAAGTAACCACACCACATGAAGCCAATCACATAACTTCACAAATATGGCAACAATAGCCATACCAAACTTACAAAGCGCTAACCAAAATACTATATAGCTGCTGAAATTTATAATTAATAAATAATTGGTTGGTAATCTAGCTAGTAATTTTTTGTTATCTGGCATAGTTTCATAGGTATCGGTGGAATAATAGCAAAAGCACGTAACCAAAGGCCTATATCAGAGCGGCCCCCAAAGTCCGGGTCGATGATCGACGTCGGATTGATAATTGATGTCGGATCGATAATTTATGTCACTGCTGCAGCTTATCAGAGTGGCCCGCCAAAGTCCAGGCCGATGATCGACCCGGACTTTGGGGGAGCTGCCCTGATATACACTTGTAATTAGACTGTCGATCCGTATATCGTGAAGATAACTAGTTTATCTGGCAGGTACGACGTATCACTTTCGGAATATTACTTTCGCCATAAAAATTTGTGAAAATTTTCCATCAGTGTTACATAGTACCTGCCGGATAAGGCTGGGTTATCCGACAAACTCTTATGATCATGAAAAACTTTCTTTCTGTTATTTTTTTTCATGTGTTACGATTTAATTATGTT